TACAAACTAAAATCTTCGTGTGATGAAAGATAGACGAAACGAAAAAGGAAGAATATACCAAGGGAGATAAAACCATTACTTTGGTCACGCACTTACCGTGTGTTCCTTGGTAGGGATATCTTAGATGCCTTATCAGCTTAAACAAACGACCGAAATTCGAATACAGTTTTATAGCATAACTCAAGCAGTTTGAGGTTAAAAAGGCTTCTTTCGTTTGGTTGATGATTAACTACTGTCAACAATAACTTGCACAGAGGGCGTGATTATTTTACCGACGTCGCCTATCCCTCCATACTTAATCTTTAATGTGTAATTATTTGTCTTTATGATGACTAAACATCCGTGATTGGTTTCAATCAAAATTTGAGATAAGGCAAAGTATAATTGCAGCAATTTATGTCCCTGAATGATAAAGAAAAATATCGTCAGGTCGGAAGAGGTCAGAATTAAATTTCTTGTAAGGTGTTGTTGTGCCTGCTCAATGCTTGTTAGAAACAGGAACTGTCTTAAATTTGTTAACTCCACGTAATTTAAGATTCCATGAAGTCTGACACTGGGATTTTACCATTGACTTGCATAATGATTGTCAAATAAACACCGACTTTTACGTTTCTTAATAAAACGCTAATAAAATATTTTTTTAAACATCCGTCTGAAACCGTCGTGTGGATGCAATTGCATGTGTTACCACGTAAGACTCAGATCGATTTTACTATTACGAATGTGTAAAAGGAATGCGTGCATTGGAGTGTATCTATAATAGGAAATAACTTAATAATGTACGTGACAGCTGCGTAACTCAAATGGTGTACGTGCCTCCCTTCCCCTCACCCCACCCCTATCGCCCAGGGGCGTAGACAACGGGGGGATGAGGGGGATGCATCCCCCCCACCTCACAAGGTGGGGGGGATGGCATGTACAATCATCCCCCCCCAGGTTTTGGGGAATGATATTTGCTTACTTAATAAGTTATAATGATTATAATAATAGTAATAATAATAATGATAACAATTATAATATTAATAATAATAATAATTATGATGATGATAATAATAATCCTCATCATTATTGTAATTGTGTTTATTGTTATTAGCCGCATTCACAAGGTGAAAGCCAATTCAGACGGTAAGAAAAAGAAAATCTTACAAGTATTTTGTGGTTATCTTGTGGTTTGGAAACCACAAGATAACCACAAGATTAAACAGGCGCGGACCTACGGGGGAGGTTTAGGGGGTTTAAATCCCCCTTGGGCGGCCCAAAAAACAAACACAAAAAAAAAGGGGAAAAAAAGAAAAGAAAAAAAAAAAAAGAAAGAAAAAAGAACGCACGCTGGAGAGAAACCCTTTCAAGTGCAAATATTGTGAGAAGATATTCAACTCATCTGGTAACTTAACCAAACACATGATAACTCTGGATATAACTGTGTATTTAACTGTTACTTGATTTAAAAAGACGTTATCATGCACTGCTTTTTATGGTCTCCATTGTGTTAATAGATGCCAGGAAAACATCACTTACGGGGTTCAAATAAACACCCCCAAAAAAAATCGGCTCGCCGCTTCGCGGCTCGTGGACGATGCTCCGCATCGTCATTATTTTGGTCAACCCCCCCCCTTAGCAAAAAGCTAGATCCGTCCCTGAGTCATCCCCCCAGGTGTACAAACCTGTCTACGCCACTGCTATCGCCATTAATAATGGTATGAATGAATTCAAAAATAAAATAATAATAATTGAGTGAAATCAGAAAGAGGAATGGGGATGCAACCGGAATGAAGATTAAATGAAATGATCCCGCCCTAGGCCATGCATAATCGATGGCTCGAGTATACACTTGAGTAAGCGTCATTTGGTGAAACAGCTCCCCCTGTCGGCATTGCTTTATATTCAATAATATACCCATGATAATTATTGTTGGAATATGCACCATAGATAATAATGATAACAGCAACCCTTTGTTATCTAGCTGTCGCGGAAAACGAAAGATAGCCACTTTATCAAAGAACATTTCTAACCTGCACAAAAGGAGCATCTTCAAAATTGCTAAATTTACACTTTTGGGTCTACTTTTCACTTTAACATAATTACTAACCATTTCATTTCCACGGCGGCTTGAGCTAGTGTGCAGTTTTTCACCTCTGAGCTCCATTTTTTCAGCCACAATTTCTTGGCAGTCCGTCCACTTCAGAAATTGCGTTTTATCGGTATTGATTGAACATCGCATGCCAATAAAAGACGTCTGTGTATCGAATCAGAGCTTATCTAATTTACCAAATGAGGTAGTATGGAAACATAATAACGTTTAATGACGGTTGATGAATAGCTTACATCATCAGTTAATATGGGCTTTCAAGAAGGATTATTATCATTATTATTTCTATTATTATCATCAATATTTAGGAAGCCTATTTCTTAAGACATCCCGTTGAGAGAAGAAAAAAAATAAGGTGGATGAGAGAAATAAAGAAAAAAGGAATTAGACATGACAGATCGATATGCAAATGATAAAAAAAGAGTAAGAAACAAGAAGAAGAGGTAGAAGAAAAAGAAGAATAAAGAGAAAACAAACAAAAAACCAATAAAAACATTTTCCTCATTTAATGAACTTATTATCTCATATTTCCTTCAGATAATAATTGAAATAAGACATTATAAAACAAAAATCACAAATACGGCCGAAACGAGAAAGCTTAAGGATGACAATCGTATAAGTTTTTAGGTCAACTGCTTATCGGATGACTAAAGCCCCACTACACTACTTATAGCTACTTGCGCCCTCTATATGGTAAACAATACCTGAGCGGTAGCCGTTGGTCCCCCATGGTCCCCTTTTTCTTATGTTAATTGAGGGCTGATTTGATGAGATAACCACTTGCCAGTTATTGCAGGGAGGTCTAATCCCTCCTGGCCAAACTCGTGCAGATAGGCTTAAAAAAACAAAATCACGCAAATATAAGCACATCTCATAATCTGGGATAAACGAGCGCCTTCCCTAACTTTGTTCTCTCTCCCCCTTACACACTCTCTCTTTGTCTCTCTGTGTCTCCTCTGTTCCTCCTCTCTCTCTTTTTCTCTTAGTTCTCCGCCGTATTATATCTTGTGATCACTTTATATTGATTCATACAATGACATTTGAAAACAGAATAATTATTCAATTACTGCTTGTATAATTTAAGAAGAGATGCAGAAACCATCCATGACAATTTAAAATGATGATATTTCGGAGTGTTCACCAAAAAAAGCTTTTTCATCTTTATTGCTACATCGTTATAATCATTTTACAAACTGATATTACTGGTGTATGACAGTATTTATTCCTTGGGTTAACATTTGTTTATATGCATCGTGTTACATAAACCGTTTACATCATAACTTTACATTCAATACCTCTCTAAAACACTATAAATTCGGTTTCATCTTAAATATCCGACTATAATTTGGAACTCATTTCGAAAGGAGCCCTGGAAAGGGTGATGTTTGAATCTTGTTTTACTGTCACATACTTTTTTGTGTAGATTATCACAGAATTATTTTGCAAAAGAAATGTAAATCATATGAACATAATAACAAAGATGAGTTCTGGTAAAACTAAATCTTTAAAAAAATCTCGCAGAATCAAACGAAATTGCACCGAATGTTCAAGATTACAAATAAATGTCATTTGCTAAACAATTTCGGTAGAAAATGTAAACTGGCTGAGCAATGAGCATAACAAGATTAGGAAATCAAAAGTAGCCCCGATACCATTTGTGTAGTCCCATATACATCTTTCTGTGTACAGTGCTCGTTACTTTACCAAGTCTGGGCCAAATTTATTATGATTTTGATGACTCCAGAACTTTGCAGTACACACCAATACTTTGCTACATGATCAACCTTTTCTGATCCATTCCACACCTTTTCTTTCAGAATGCAATCGGATGACCAGAACTCACCTGTATCTTTAATGAAATTATCTTGAACAAATTTCCACAATTATTATCATATCGTGGCTTAAATAAGAATATTGAGACACCAATTATCTACATTATATTGATGTAGTAACACAATTCAAATTGATAAGTTAGAATGTATTAAGGTATTTTTAAATTTAGTATTACTGAAGATGGAATTGTTTTCTTCATAAAATAAACACATAGCCTAAATGAGTTACCGGCGAACTACTTAAAAAAAAGAAGAGAAAAGCAGGCTCGTTCACTTTGCTACTTGAGACTAATATATATGATATACACTATCTAAGTTGTGTTGGTGAAGGATTGAAAGTATTTCTAACTGAAACAGGTTGGTTTAGTTGGGGGATCATAGACCCCATTGCGGCATACTGCTGTTGATACCCCGACCAATGTATAGTTCGTGTTACATTGATAGGTGAGAACCTCGCCGCTACTGAAAGACTCTTGATCTGGATTCACGCCTCCATTAACCATAGTTGGTTTGGCACAGTCGGCTGTTGTTGAAACATATTGGAATATAATGATAATGATAATGATGAGAGTAATAATAGTAATAATTATGATATTATATTGATAATAGTTATGATAACAATATTATTAACAATACAAATATTAATAACGATAACAACAACAACAATAATAATAATAATAATCCAAATAGTATTAATAATAATGATTTAAAAAAATAATTATAATAATAATCATGTCACCATCCCTTAGGAAGTTTAGGGCGCTTATAAGTATTTTCATAATATTATTATCCTGACTTCAACAATGCAAATATTTTGATTACTTCGTAATTGTCGAATTATCAATCGACCAACTGAACTACACAAAACAGTTTTTACCAAACTGCGTTATTTTGAATTTCTTGTAGATATCTTCACGTCTGAACCATGCGATGACTTAACAGTGATACGTGTAATATATGGTGAACAGTTTGTGGTTCCTCCAGACATGCCATAGGGTGCGATATATGTTTAACAGGTCCGTTTTGCTCTAAAAAGATCCCCAGTCTGAATGATATTTGAAACACTACAAAGAACTTACCTTCGCAAGTGGGTACAGTGGACGGATTCCAAACCCCACCCGATTCACAGACCGCTTCGGATTGGCCTCCCAACGTATATCCGTCGTCGCAGGCGTATGTGATTCGGGAGATACTGCCGTGTACTGGTACCGTAGGTTGAGGGCATGCAGTTATACCTACAACAACAAAACATGTAAAAAAATGCGTAATCATCCGTGCCTGATAGGTATTAGAATAATAGTAGAGGACTAGTGTACTTGATATTGTTATTAATAGTATCAATATAATTTGTATCATATACCTCACTTAAGAAATCAAGCCATCTGACTGGTCGAAATTGCAGTCATGGTTTTAGCTATTCCCGTAAATAAAAGAAAAATGCCACGCCCATGTAATAGTTCGAGGGCAAAATTCATGTTACCGGGAATAGTTCAGTCTTGCTTAAAAACTGGTTTGAGCGATCGCGGATACCATACATTGAGTGTGTGCGAAGAATTGGTCGCTAGCCTAGACAGCAAAAACACCAAAAGGGTAGGCTCTACGTTTTATTATTAGCCGTAGATCTAGGTCTAGATATAGATTGTGATTTTATTGCTTGCGATAGCGGTGATACAGGTATTGAATATTGTATAATGCAAGTGTTTGAATTCATTTGGTGGATGAAAAGTTGAATTCTACGCCGTTTTGTGCGTCATTGCAGCGCTGAATTTGGTGTGTTCGTCGCTAATTTCTGACAAATTTAGATAGCATTCCTGATGGTATTTCATGCAAAATTTCTGTTATATTGATAAACACTGATTCTTGTCATTAACTTTGACTTGTTTCTTGTCTGTTATTGTCATTTAATAGATGAATTACTTGAATTCTGAGCACATTTCAGTAACACAAAAAATCCAGCCCATTCGTAGTCCCACACACGTATTTGTATGTACCTTGTGCCCTTACACTGTCTGCTGTCTCGATAGCGTAAACAAACTTGATTACCATGATTGGTAAGTCGCACATGTATTCTATGACCCTTTTCGGTATATAAAAGTATTAATGACTGCTTTATTTTTTCGAAACAGAGTATAGTATTAATGACTGCTTTGAGAGAAATAGTTGTTTTTATACGCTCAAGGGAAGGTTACCAAAAAAAAGAAGACTTAACAGTGATCTGTGTAATAAATGGTACGAAGATTGAGGTTCCTTTAGACATACTAGAGGGTGCGATATATTTAGCAGTTTGGTTATGCTCTAAAAAGATACAGAATGGCACAGAGCTTACCTTGGCAAGTGGGTACAGTGGACGGATTCCAGACCCCACCCGATTCGCAGACCGCTTCGGATGGGCCTCCTAACGTATACCCGTCGCCGCAGGCGTATGTGACTCGGGTATATAGGTCATATGTAGGAGTATCAGGAGTGATACTGCCGTCTGTTGGTACCGTAGGTTGGGGGCATAAAGTCACACCTACAACAACACAAATTTCAAAAGTGCGTAATAACCCGTGACATGTATTAGAATAATAGTAGAGGGTTAGTGTATATTTAATATTATCAACATTATTATTATCATTATTATAATTTCTAATATTTTTATCATTATCGTCATCATCATCATCATCATCATCATCATCATGCATATACAGACCCCCCCCCCGAAAAAATGTAATCGTAATGTGGCATTACATACTGTCACAACAAGCTGACATTATATTAACAATCATGTCATAAAATCATAACCACACAACAGTAACAAAAGTGTGTATTCAAACAAAAATAATAAAATACCTGGGCAGACGGTCTTCGGTTTTTTAATCAATATAATGTCACCTTGTTGTGATAATACGTGCCACTTCGTGTAATAGTGCATTTCATCTCAATTCTAATAAGTGTATTAGAAATCTTAACCCCCACTCCCACACCCACCCACGCAATCCTGCCTTAATTTGGTCTTTTGAGGCGGGGAGAAATCCCCATGGGCACCGTTTACTTCGTTTATGAGGTCATTATTGTCCCCCCAAAAATCCACTTAATGCTATGTATATTGATTGTGTTATATATTTTTTTACAAATTGTTATTATTACAATTTTTAAAAATTCATAGCTTTCCCTTCTTTATTCGGATTTTCCTTAAAATTGTACCTGACTTCCTCTCCGTCGTTTCTGCTTCTTTTAAAAACAGCTAAATATCAAGATAGAGACCTTCTCCATACGTTCTGAAACTCCGTAGAAGACAATGAAGCTACGTGTAGCTATCATGTCCCGATTCGCGACGGTAAAAAAAGAAGAAGAAGAAAAGAAGAAAAAAAGGTGTGGAGGGCGGGGGAGGGGGCGGGGGCTGGTTAGTTGCTACCTTCGCATGTCGGTGCGAACGAAAATTGCCATGTCCCATCGTAGCAATCGTTGAAAGGAGGTCCCCTCAGATCACCAGTACAGGTATAGATCACCCCATTTCCGGCACCGGTGGTATAGCATTCTTGTATTGGGGCTATGGCACCTCCAGAACCCAGGACCGGTGATAAGCCATCGGTACCGTCGTAACAACAGTCTAAATGAAAAAAAAAACACTTAAACACTTAACGGTTCCTAATTATATTTATATGCGTAATAAAAAATATAAAAAAATCTTTATTTGGCGTGATTTTAAGACCATACATTATTTGAAACAGATAACGGCTACTAAATTAAATGTAAATGCATTATTCAAAAAGAAAACCGTATCTTAAATCTGATTTGGAGTGATTTTTATTAACACCGACCTCTTTTCATTTAACATGCTTGACATATTTATAAATATATCACTAAATTTATCGTGATACATGTATAATGTCATTGTTGGTTCAATGCAAGCCTGATTGTAAGGTCCATAAATAGATAAAAGAAGCTAATTCTTTTTTTTTATTGCGAACGTTGTAAATTTTGAGTTTTGAGAGTAGAATGGTTAATTTCATACCTGTTCCTGTGCACTCCGATCCATCGGCTTTATTGAAAAGAAGTAGAAAATGAAATAAATAAGATAAACATGTATTGTTTGGATAATTTAATATTCACAGTCGTTTTGAAAACGATAATGGTCTGAAAACATCTTGCCTGCTTCTGTCGACAAATGGTACAACAAGTGAACGCCACATTCGAATTTTGTCAGTCATAATATGCAAGTCCATTGATTTTATTCTTATAAGTAACAAAGCATCAAAAAATGCACTTTCATACAAACCTAGTTGAAATGCAAAGTATGAGCTGAAGATGAGCTTATAAACAATGATGAAAAAGTTAGTTTAGGAGAGTGCATACATCGAATTCTTTTTTCCAAAATTGACAGAACACCGAGCTTTGTAAGAACTGTTTAAAGTGCGGGGTTTCGATCGTTGTAAATGCCTTCTGTTATGCATTTTCCTTATTTTTCACTATAACTTTGTGGATAAATCTTCTACCATAGAATTTCATTTGGTGGGTGGTTGATGTAGATTAAAAAGACACGTTTCTTGTGCAATACCACGCATTATTATCTGTATAAGACTTCCAAGTGTTACAATAAATCAGTGTATTTAATATCTTTAGCACAGTACCCGGATGATTGATCAATATCGTTTTCGTATCGCTCAGTCATCCGGGAACTTCAACTATCGATATCGATATCACACGAAAACAAAGCAATATTTACCGAGGTAAGTCAAATTTTGTTTACGCTAGTCAGCCTGATGTAGATAATAATACAAATAATAATATTGTATGGCGTTGTTTTCGTGCATATGTAAATGTTTCTTTGGACTCGTCGAATATTTTTATAGCTCGAGCAATATATTCTTGTTTCACACTCGAAGCCATCCAATATAAAATATATTATTCTTTCATCTTCAATTAGTTCGGAAGTTATTAAAAACAATACAAAATCTAGTTTAAAAAAAAAAAAACGAAAAAAAAAAAAAAAAAAAACGAAAATAATATCGCTAGTGACATTCGTTTGTCTCGCAATGCATGGTCAACAAGGGATCTAAAAGATCACGACGTTTCGTGTGCCGCTGCTACACTTCGTCAGGTGATAAAATATATTGTAATCCCCTGCATACAATATATTTTATCACCTGCCGAAGTGTAGCAGCGGCACACGAAACGTCGTGATCTTTTAGATCCCTTGTTGACCATACATTGCGAGACAAACGAATGTCACTAGTGATATTATTTTCGATACTATATCCGCAATGAATACAATATTTAGCATTAAAATGAAAAATCATTGACAAAATATTCGGTAACTTTTAACGAGATGACTGTAGCTTTATATTCACATCTTAATGTCCCGAGCAAGACAAGGACGAAACCATTAATCAAACACATGGTTACTTGACGCAGGATAAGCTGATCAATTGAATGGCTACCGGGTACAGTAAACCAGTCTATGTCTTTTCACCTTTTCATGTACCATGAGTTCTGAATGGAGCGACCATTTTCATACTTACAGTTTGTGCAATCACCGTTTACATCTGAAACAAAAAGATGAAAACAGACAAATCAATTATAAAAGAACTATTCCCCGACATAGACAACTAGTACTTTAAAAAGATAATATAAAACAAAGATCTATCTCTCCACTTGAACTCATTAAAACAAAGCGATGAAAACGAAAATCATAACTGCCATCTAAAAATCATAATAGACATAATATTTTACAAGTAGATTTCGCTTCAACGTTGAATAAATATATCTATTAATTGTATATATCTACCAATTTTGTATTGCATTTGAGCAATGAATGATCTATTAAAACAAAAAGATAACTGATTTTTGTAAATTAAACAGAGATGAAAATTATGTTAGGAGTAAACTGTAAAGTCGAATGAAATTGCGCGTAATTTTCATAGATTTTAATTATGTATTACGTTTTTAAAGAAAAATACTAAAGTTCGGGAAAAATAGCGTCTACTGCCAGCAAGAAGGCCGAACGTATTTCCATGGGCAGTAACTGGCTCTTGTTCAAAACCGACAATATAAAATCACGAGTTATTACTTACTGCGAATTAATCCAAGGCTGAGAAGGAGGGTGAGTCCAAATATAAACTGAAACTTCTCCATAATCCTTACGATCTTCTTCTATTCCATGAACTAAATTATGTTTTCACAGAGCTCTAAACACACGAATTCACAATGTCGTTGGTTCTGTTTAGCGCTGTTTTCAAAACAAAATGACCGCCTCAAATTAGATCACTGAATCCGTTTTTTTTTTAGTAGTAGATATGATTTAAAAAAAAAAACGTTGATGATTAACTACTGTCAACAATAACTTGCACGGAGGGCACGATTCAATTCAATTCAAATAAACATTTATTTTCTTCCATTCAATTTAACAAACATGATAATTTGTTGATACTGTCTTCATACTCGATCTTTAATGTATAGTTATTTGTTTGTATGATTACTTATCATATGTGATTGGCTTCAATCGAAGTTTGCGATAAGGCCAAGTAAGATTGGACCAATTTATGTCCGTGCCTGTTAATCGTTTTTATGCAAACAAATGTTTGTTGACATTGTTTATCCCTCATTCAATATTGCATTGTTTCATAAGATTTCACAAGATATCACGAGATTTCATTGCAACACTGACCTTTTCATTTCTTAATAAAGCAATTTGTTGTTAAACATCCGCCTGAAGGCGTCTATTCGAGGCAATTACATAAGACGGGAGATCCAGATCTATCTTTCTAGTATGCGAAGTTATGCGTATCTCCACTGGTGTACGTGTCCCTTCCCTGTCTTATTTAACCAAATGAGGTAGTATAGAAACAAAATGCTGTCAAATGACATTAAATAAATTGCTACTGATGCTTTCTTATCGTTTTGTTCACATCATCAATCAATAGGGGCTTTCAAAAAGGACGTTATTATTACTTTCATTATTATCCTTATTAACCATTTTTAGGAAGCCTATCCCTATAAAACATCCCGTTGGGATTAGGTGGATAAGTTTAATAAAGGAAAAGAGAAATACAACATGACAGATCGATATACACATGTGACAAAAAATAAGAAGAAAGAGAACAGAAAAAGAAGAAGAAGGAGAAGAAGAAGAAATGGAAGAGGATGGATCATAGAAATAATAATATGCCCCACTCCAAAATAAAATCCACACTTGGTGGCCTTATTTTCTCACATTTCCTTAAGATAATTATTAAATAAGACATAGAAAGAAGACCACGAATACGGACAATAATATATCACTAGAAACCGCGAAGCTTAAGATGACAATTGTATAGTTTCAGGCCAACTGCGTATCGGATTGTTAAAGAAAATATTAACTTTTTGCTTTTGTGTGTATCGGAAGGTCATGAGGTTATTTCAATCTTCTAGATTTAACTGGGACCTTGTAACAGCGACCTACCGAAATCATGAAAATGATTCCATCCACAAATGTACTTTTTGTGGATAATTATAAACCTTTATTTGTAGTTCTAACAATCATTATGATGTACTATTTTCCGATATAATTGTTCTACTTCCAATTTCAACTAGTGTATTTAACAGGTAATGTGTAAACTATCTTCGATAGTATCACATAAAGTCATTACAATGACCACATGTGCCCGGGGATCCAAAGTTATACTTTTATTCTGGTTTCAAATGAAAAAAATATCACTGACTGAAACTAAAACTCTCTGCGAAAATAATTAAATATAATAAGAAGAATAAAAGTACGTCCATTATTCCTCTTTTCAGGACGGAGTAAAAGCTTGTAAAAAACGAAATGATTGATTAAATTTATCTTAGGGGCTTACAAAAGGATAAATGCAAATTTTAATCAAACCTGCATCCTCCACAGGCATCTCTAAATCCATAACCTTCTTGCTGTCTTCCTTGATCCAGCGTACAGATCCCTCATCTGACCTGAGGTAGCCCCTCTCCTCCGGCGGGCCATGCTTGCACAGGGTGCACACTCGCCACTCGTGTCGTTGTTTCCGCAGATAGCAACTGTACAGTGCAGGTAGATCTACATGGAGGGAAGGAATATGACCAATTTGTTCTAGGTAGTATTGTAGTCGAGACCTTTCCAGGGCCCCGTCTTACAAAGAGTTGATATCAGTGGCAACTTATTTGCGCATGATATAAATCACAACTATGTACATAATTATGAGAAAGAAGACTGCAAACTTGCGATTGATTGAAGGACTTTACCAATCGCAACTCTTTGTAAGAAGGGCCTCTGGGGTCCCGACAGTGAGGACAAATTCCTCTGTAGGACCATGCATTTAGGTTCAAGGCATGGCCCACAGAGGATTTTTTTCTTCTGTTGGGGGTCGGGGCAAAATGCAATGAATTATTGATAATGTTTTTGTTTGTATTTGTGGAGCGGCCCCGTACCCTAGCCCCCGCTGCGTACAGTCATGATTCAGTGGCTATTAAAGCAATGGCCTTGTTACTGTGAGGCCCCAGGATCAGAACCATGTCGATTTACTATATTAGTGCCCTTTTGTGAGGCATTAGGTGGGCTTCATTTATCTAATCCTAACAATAAAGATAATCATTTGAGTCCATTTCTGTCTTCTAGTTGGCGTAAAGGCGAAATCAGCTTCAACTCGTAGACGATCGCATAACTGAAATAAAGTCATCACGATTCAGAATGAAATGCATTTTGATCGTCCCCTGACATCGGACATTGTGATTTGATCATTCATTTAAGTATTCCCATGTTTACATTTTCAAGTCGATTGCTATTAAGATTTGTTTCCATAGTCAACATACCTGACTAGTATCGATGTAGGTAAACCCTGAGAGACTGAATGCAGCTAGTCCACTCATTCCTAGATCGTGGTGCATAACTGTCTGTTCTACTTGACATCTAAATTCGGACAGAACGAGACACGAGAAAGATAATCAATACACAGCCCTGTAAAATGAAATTGACTTATAAATCAATCGATGTAGTGTATCTTTTGTATCTCCCAATTGGTTGTAGTTAATTTTCCCTTACCGTGCATTGTTTTTATCTGTAACATAATATTCATTGTAAGCTGCTAGTTATTGTAAAGTTACCACCGAGTGAAGGAAATATTATTAATTTATGAGAGACAAAGTCAACTGTAACTTTTAAATTTACATTGCCCTGGAATGTATGGAAATGTATGGAGCAAGTCATTACATTTGCTCCTTATTTAATGACTTTTCTTTCAGCCACCCGTAGTATAAAGCAATTGATGGTTTGGGACATTCTCAAGATTTAACCACCTTTGTCAATCCTGGTATATAAGTATTAAATAAAACGTGTTTCTGAGTTTTCTACGAATTGCAGAAACTATAGATGGCGGCCAAACTAGAGTCTATAGCACCTCAAGATAAAGGTGATCTTTGATCTTGTAATTACATTTCGAAATGACTTGAAAATGTTTGATTACCTAGTAAAAAGCAAGGGTCTATTGCTTGGTTATGGATTCATCAACATGATTATAAATTGACTCGATGTCGACGAAAAGCAAATGAACTGCACATAAATCGATGTATGGGACTACACACATGCAATATGCAGGAAGGTTTGGTCACAATTCTTTAGCTATTTCTCGCCATATTTTGAATATTAGAGAATATCGTACCATGCATTCACGTACGGGAGTGAGCATTGACATTGAAGGATAAATGAGTCTATGAAACAAAATTGCAAAAAAGGGGCATCTGGCTATTCATATGTAAATGAGCATTTCAATCTTATAGAGTCAAATTACAACAATGAAACAAAAACTATCACGAGTAACAGTAAAGGGGAGGCATGTTGACCATGCTTGTCAACAACCATGCAGTCCTGAGACTACAGTTGATATCCAGAGCTCCATTTTCCTCATTATTATTTTAATTACTGAAGAAGAATATTTTACAGGTGCGCGCGAGTTCACTGAGATTTGAATGGTTACTTGCTCTATTTTTGCCATTTTTCTTTAATCAGACTCCTAACGGTTTAGTGAATGTGCCCAATTTTGCGTTGAAGTTCAAAACTTGAGTTTAATTGATGTTGGTAGAGTATTAGTTTCCATGTAATGTGATATATCATTTTGGCATATTCTTTGTACTGTTCATATTACAATTTTGAACAATAAAAGAGTGTCCACTTTCGTTTTTTTGCGGAGTGTATTTTAGTTTGTTTACCAGACATATTAAAGCCTTCTCTTTCACTGAACAGAATGTAAGAGGAGACTTCCCCATCCGTTATCGGGTTGTATCTCCTGCTGTCTTCGGGGTCAGTCGTCGGTGTCGTCCAGCAGGAGTCGATGACCACTCACTGATCAGCGGAAGTCGTGGCTTCCACAGCAAAGTAGGCTCTCTGGTTGACGGACACGTCGGTGGCGGAGGAGTCGACTTTTGTCGTAAACGTGTCGTCGGTGTACATTGTCCGTGGTAGTAGCATCCTTCTTGTGGAGAACCGTCGATATAAAATCATGAGTTATTACTTACTACGAATCAATCCAGGGCTGAGAAGGAGGGCAAGTCCAAATATAACCTGAAACTTCGCCATAGTCCTTACGGTCTTTCTTTATTCCATGAACTAAATTATGTTTTCACAGAGCTCTAAAACACATTAATTAACAATGTTGCTGGTTCTGCTACGCGCTGCTTTCAAAACAAAATGGCCGCCTCAAAATAGATCACCGACTCCGTTTTCTTAAGTTAGAGATATTATTCTAGAAATCGTTGATAGTTAACTACTGTCATCAATAACTTCCAAGGACGGCGTGATATTTTTTTAAGACGCCTGTGCCTTCATCTTTAATGTATAATATTTGTTTGTATGATTACTTATCATCTGTGATTGGCTTCAATCAAAGTTTGCGATAAGGCCAAGTAAGATTGCACCAATTTATGTCCGTGCCCGTTAATCGTTTTTATGCAAACAAATGTTTGTTGACATTGTTTATCCCTCATTCAATATTGCATTGTTTCATAAGATTTCACAAGATATCACGAGATTTCATTGCAACACTGACCTTTTCATTTCTTAATAAAGCAATTTGTTGTTAAACATCCGCCTGAAGGCGTCTATTCGAGGCAATTACATAAGACGGGAGATCCAGATCTATCTTTCTAGTATGCGAAGTTATGCGTATCTCAACTGGTGTACGTGTCCCTCCCCTGTCTTATTTAACCAAATGAGGTAGTATAGAAACAAAATGCTGTCAAATGACATTAAA